ATTTCCTAAAGAGTAAAAATGCTACTTTAGACCCGGAACGCATGCATCAATGACGACTGTTTTTACTGCAGTATGACAAAAACAATATAATATGAACCCTTGATGACTCCGCTCAATTTTGTGGATGCATCTGCGAACGCCACCTAGTATTCTGAAACAGATGTCAATACATTAGTTATCAAATGCCAGCTGTTTTGTTTGGATTTGAAATGTAAACAGTTTGCATGTTTTTAAAAATAATTAGAAGCCCGGCAAAGAAATGTTACCTATAGGGCACGACGGGAGCAAAGTGTTACATTATATATTCGTTTAAACATGCCAAGGACCCGACGACAAAGAAATATTGCCGGTCGGACACGGGTGTACTTAAAAAAATACACTGACAAATACAAGAATTCAGCAGTATTCACTTGACGATACGGCATTTAAATGTCAGAAATGTGGTGCGCTACATTTTAAAGAAGAACAAAGAGGACGAGGCGAAGGATTTTCATCCTGCAGCCATAAAGGAAAAGTGAATCTATCACCATACCGAGAAAGCTATTATATCCAGAGCCTACTTAATGGAGCAAATCATTTGAGCAGAAACTACAAAGAGAACATTAGATCGTACAACTCTGCGCTCGCAATGGTCAGCACTCGAGCTAAAATTGAAGAACATAACGATGGAGGGCTTTTCATGTATGAGGTGCACGACACAATTTATCACTCAATTGGCACCTTACAACTGTCAGAAGGGGAGCATCCCGCATATGCCCAAATTTAAATCTACGACGTCGAAACCGCTGTTCAAGAAAGAATGCTATGCTAAACAAAGCTAATGGCTCTTGCAGCACTGACCTCATGCACATTTTGATTCAACATTTGGTTGATATTAATCCATACGCGCAAGTTTTCAGCATGATGAGCTCCGTCCTGCAAAACACTCCTACTGAACAGCAAAAAGAACTTAGAATGCGTATAGCCAACGATTGAGCTCAAGACCAACGTCGATACAACGACGCAACTTCTAATGACGTATCCTAATTTATTATTCGTGCGAATTCGCACGGGTTCACCTAGTTAATAATGAATATAAACCAATTTTTTGTGACATTATTTTGTTTTCATTTGCCTTCAACAATAACGAACAACATTACTCTTGCGGCATAAGTCATCATTAGACATTCTTCAAAATAGCTTACCATATATTTCGGGTGTTATAAATCAAATCAAATGAAATATGTCTTTATTCATAATATGTACAATTTATGTACAATGAATGGTGTCAGATCTTATTTCTAAGAAATAAAAATAAGTACATTAAAATTAATCTATTTACAAGTAATACAGTACACCTTTTTACCAACAACGCCATTTAACTTATTTTATTTAAAAACTCATTAATTGAATAAAAAGTGTTCTCAATCATGAATGCCTTTAAATTTTTATTGAATTTCTTAATGTTAGTCCCACTTTTCAAACTTTCGGGCAATCTATTAAAGAATTTGACACCCTTATGTGGCCTTTTTTTTAATTCTAATTACCGGTATGTGTTTCTAATTTCAAATCATTTTTGTGTCTAGTGTTATAAGTATGATTATGGCCAAGAAAACTAGTATTATTCAAATTATTCTAGTCATGTTTTGTTTCACATACATAACACATTCATATATATATATATAAATCAAACACCGACAAAATTCCCAGTTCCCTAAACCTATCCTTTACATGAGCCTTGTACTTCAAACCTAGCATGATTCTTATACATTTCTTTTGGAGTTTCAATATCTTTTTTAAGTTTTTGTGAGTTGTCGCTCCGTATACACAAATATTATATGCCAAATGTGAGTGAACCAAGCTAAAATATATTACTTTTAAAGTGGCTAAATCAAATAAATGGATGTGAAAGGTTGGCATGGACACCCCAATAATACTGTTAAATGTGTATTGTAAAGCTAAGCAAACTGACCTGACCACTTTATAATCTAAGACTCTTTAGATAAACGCTGGATTATTGAGCTAGATTTGATAGTCTCAAAATAGCGTAAAATACGCTAATTTCAGCATATAGTTTTCAAAATTTTCCCGGACCTCCCTCCAGACTGGGGGTATTCCATACCCCCAGGCGGGCCACCCCCAGCGACCCCTGTTTCAAGTACGCTCTTGCCCCCCCCCAGGTTTTATTTATTTATTTCCCAACAGATTGCACCATTTTACAAAATATGTCTTTACAATATGATACAGATGGAATTTACAATAGTACTAACTAGAAAAGTAATAACAAATAGTAGTAACAAAGTAAAATAAATAGTAGAGAGTAATAAACAAATAGTAATAACAAAAAATAGTAATAACAAAAAATAGTAATAACAGAAGAATGAACTCTGAAGAGTAATAACAATGAATTTACACAGAAGGTTACAACGACAACAAGATAAATATGCAGATATGATGGGGTGTGGTTACTCAAGTGAGCAGGGAGACCTTCTTCTTGAACGGGAGGGGCTTCTCACAGAAGTCCAGTTGAGCAGCCGCCGTGCTACCAGCCTTGAGTAGACGGCAAATTCCGCTGTTGTAGGAATAGTAGGCTGGGAGAAAGCGTCTGCCGCATATATAGTCTTGGAGCGTGTGCCTCTGGGCGTGGTAATGTCAATACCGCTCAGGATGTTGGGGCAATCGATAAACCCGTTTACCAGCTTGTAGAGCAGTATTATGTCGGCATGATGACGTCGGAGTGACGAAGGTAGAAGATAAAAGGACTTCTCCACATCGTCAACCGGGATAGTGCGGTAGGTAAAACCAAGTCTCGGTCCAAACATCCGTATGAAGCGGGTTTGTATGTTCTCCAGTTGGAGACCAGATGATAGACCCATACTTCAGCAGCGGGTGTACCAAGGGACTTGTAGAGCGTGATCAAGGTGAAAGGTGAGTTGAAATTCCTAGTTGATCTGACTATGAAACCAAGCAGAGAGCTAGCTTTTGGTTGTAATGTGGGTAATGTGCTCACGAGGGTTGAGCAAAGGGGTCATTGTCACTCCGAGATCTCCTACCTTGTCCACTCTCTTCAGTGTAGATCCATTAAGGATATATAATCGTATTGGACTGGGGCTGCACCACGTTTGTAGGAGATGACGACACATTTCAAGACGTTGAGCTCCATGAAGTTCTCCTTGCACCAGGCGTCGATGTTAGTCAGAGAAAGTTGGAGCCGCTCAAAGAAGCCAATGACACCGAGCCAAATACTATCATAGGCAAACATGATAAATTTGGTAAGGATGGCCTTGCCAATGTCATTAATGAACAGATTAAACAGCAAGGGACCAAGGTGTAACCCCAGAGGACACTGAATGGCACCCGTCGTACTTGACTACAAGGGTTCTGTCGGTCAAGTATAGCTGTTTAACCACTTAAGCAGGGGCCTCCCACACCATATCCGGCAAGTTTTGCTACAAGGATGTTGTGATTGACCTTGTCAAAGGCATTGGAGAGATCAAGGTAATCGCAGTCAACTTGGATGAGCATTTTTATCCTGGGTATGCCCTAGAAAAATAGTTCCCCTATTAAAATCAACTATACCGAGCTATACACAGCCGTTAATTAATAGTCCATACAGCTAATGACAACTAAGGGACCTACAGTTTATAGTGGAATCCGAACCACACTTTTGCCTTGGTATATACAAGTATATATTTGAATTGGTCAAATTTTTAGGATAGTACTGCGGAGTCGTAGTACACACTAGTACAGACGTTAATCCACACCAGGGAGTATCACATCCACAGTGCATGCCTATAAATATCCACAATTTGTAACCTCCTAGCTGGATTACAGGACGACGCCACCCGTCCCAGCATAATATATAAACACTTGTGTTTAAGTAGTCAGTGCTATTACTGAATTTGAAACTATGATACATATTGTGACAGATCTATGAAATCGAGAAAAACGTGTCTACTTGCTTGCATGACATATAACATTAGAAATGGGAGGTTTTTGGGCATTCACAGTTCTAGACGTCAAAAATGGCTTTATAAGTCACCAAACGGCTTATAGGAGATATGGCTTCGTAGTCTACAGTAGGCCTATTTTGAAATTCATGAATGCAAGTTGTCATGGTTTAATTTTTTAAATGTCTACTTGCTCATGACAAATAACAGGTAAAATGGGAGGTTTTTGGACAGTTGTACACAGATATAGACATTAATAATGACTTTAGAAAGTCAGTTAACATATTTTAGGAGGATCATAGCCTACAATATGTTTTGAGATTTATGAATGCAATCGTTATAGTTAATTTTAAAAATGTCTACTTGTTCATGACAAATAAATGGGGAATGGGATGTTTTGTACACACAGTTCTAGATGTTAAAATGGCTTTAGAAAGTCACCAAACAGCTTTTAGGAGGATATGGTCTTAGTCTACAGTTTTACGAAATTCATGAATGCAATCGTCATATTTTAATTTAAAAAATGTCTACTTGCTCACGACAAATGACAGGTGAAATGGGAGTTTGCGGACAATTACAGTTTTAGGTGTAAAAATTGCTTTAGAAAGTCACGAAACAGCTTTGAAAATTCCAAATTTTCCCTGTAGAGGACCCCCCTACTTTCCTCCTTGAAAAGGTCCTAGAACCGCCACTGTTCGTCATATGGGCATTTTGGAAGCACAGACATAAGACTAAAATCGTCATACATATTTCCAATCCTAGGGTTAAACAGACTCGAAAACCGTTATGATGGTAAAAACTTTATAAACGAAAGTTGTAGGTAATGATTCTGCACTTTTCCATATAGACCAAATTATAAAGGCTTACATAGAAGATTTCACCTGAATCACCCCCCCCCCCCCCTAAACACCCAATTAAAATTTTATTAACCTCATCTTATTGCACATTTAAACCATGAAGGGACTCCCCATGCCAAATTTGATCATTTAAAGCTGAGCCGAGAATTAATGGTTAGCGGCAAGGGAAGTGATGAAACTTTCAGTATAACAATCATTTTTATTTAGTTACAGTATAATATTAGGCGATACCAAACAATATGAAAATGGCTGATGAAAGGAATGAAAATAATTAACTTAAAAATGTGAAAATTGAATTACTTTTAACAATATAATGAAATCTTATTCAAGTAATATACAAGTCGACAAGACTTTAATACATCACAAAACATTACTATGTACAAAGTTTATACAACAACAGCTAATAATTTACAAAAATAATAAATCAAAATATATATACAACACTGTTTAAAGAATGGATGCCATTCATATAACAATATACGAGCACCGTTGGTCGAAAATTAAAATAGCGAGTTACTTTGGCGTCGTTTGGACAGGTAGTATCCACTATACATCTTATAACACTAAGCAAATCTTTACAATGGTACAACAAACAAAATACCCTTCAAGTCCATAGATACAAAACAAGTATACTTAAGAATCAATAGATTTAAAATAATCATAACTATAACACAAATTATTTCACCTACTTATATATTAACAGCGGTAAGTTCACATTAAATAAAAGCCTAAAAATAATAGTAACCTAGTTAAGTAGCTTAGGATGAAATGAATTGAATTATATAATGGAAATATCAGATGTCTTTTAACTACTGTATCATGACTTATACTTAATATGTAACATCAATTATTAGTTGAGCTAAAAATGTTAAATAAACTAAGAAATTTTACGTCATGATACCGAAAAAGAAAGGGGACTATGACTTAACATATGAGCAATATTAAAAATTTGATAACTTTTTACGATAAAGTCTAATGTAAATTTAGGTCTCAAAGTTACATAACTAAAAATTATGGTATTGTGACTATGGCCTACAATTTTAAAAAAGATTTTAGTTTTAACCAATCAATTGAATTGCCTTTTTCAGGATTTGTTAGATAAAATAATTTAAATTTCTTGCATATTAAATAAATGAAATTCTATCTCAATCTTTGACATGAAAATGCAAATCTACTTCGTTACATAAGAGCATTTTCATTGCTACGTTTGTAGGTTGGTTTACATTACCATAAAAAAGATATACCTCCAGCTCAAATGTTTGTATGATTATTTTTAGGATTCTAGGTAGAAATACTTCTTACGATTTACGACCATGTCAATAAAGTTCTCATAAACAAAGCTTTAAAACATAAAAAATGTATTTTAGGTATACATTTCAATATGTAGTGATAATTATTAGTAGTTTCGACAATTTTGATTCCAATGTACGTACTTAGAACATTTGTTAGGATGATTTTGTTCAAGTTCTTTATGGCAAATGAGAAAATAGTTTTCAAGCCGAGTTATACAAAAATTAACACAAGCTCCAGAAAATCACCAAAAGGATAAACAATCTACGATGAAGGTTTCCAAATCACAGCCAAAATAGAAAAATAACTGTACAGTAGAACCCTGCTAATATTCGACCTTGGCTAGTCCAACTTTTTGCTTAATCTGACCGTGCCATCCCCTATCAACAATGACAACAATGATAATTAATTGCTGAAATATTATGACTATTTTCAAAGGTCATAAAGAGATCATCCTGCAATTGCTGCAAAAAATCTTGTTCATCCATCCCCGATCACGGATCAAATGTATTTTCAACCTCCACAATCATGGCAAAATAATGAACGTCTCACATCTTCAGCTATTGTAAAAAAATCCTAGACGAATCTCATGGCCACAGAAAAAATAATCATCCTATCCATCAAAATCCTGAAGATCTTCTCCCAACCTGATCATGGAAACATCGTCATCGTCTTATGGGGTCGTGGCACAATATTTAACGTCTCCCGCGGACCTGGAGACATTATTATCGTCTGTCGCAATTAATGAATGTCAGTTAAGCAGTTAATTTGGCCAGTAACATGCTCCTCAGATAATCCGACCTTTTCACTACAATGGTCCTGGTTCCGTATGTGACGTATTAGCAGGGTTGTACTGTATAAAAAAAGCTTTACACATTATACTGTATGAAAATAATTATAATATAATTATACTATCATAATTAAATGGTCTTAATTTAAGTTTCAATAATGAAAGCTAAAAAACAAGTAACTGCATTTTTTTAGTTTTAAAGCATATAAGACCAAAAAACTTATGGTAGTTTGAACAATTTTATATGATAACTATATCAAAATTAAATTTCCGAACACACGATGTTCGATGTTCATAATGTTATATGGTACTGTTTTGCCACGTAATTTATTTTAAAAGAAGTCATTTATTCCTGGCAACATAAGCTCTGTAATTTTTGCGAAGCACAATAAAATGACATAGGATACTAAAAAATTTGTAGATCTTTTCAGAGGCGACCTAATAAAGCATTTACTGTAAAACAAAAAAACAAAGAATGAATCATAATTTGTTTATGGCGCAGAAGAGTTTTACAAGTAAGTTATACTTAAATTCAACACAATATTTCTTTAGTTGGAACAAAACATGATCAAACGAGGCACATCTTCCCCAACTTGGAACAGTCAAAACACTTTAACCAACACATTCCTTACGTTTTGAACAAATGTCCTATACATAGCACTACCTTGTACATTGCCCTGATGTGGTTGGGTCTATTAGATTATTCAAATCACATCTCTTATACTGAGGCATTTTGGACACTGACATACTTTTTTTCTACATGTGTTTGATTTGAATTTCGCTCAGTCAATGTTAACAACTGCAGGTGTATAATGATGTCTACATTATTTTCAGTCAACTTTTTATCTCAGATTTTTGTCTTTTCTTGATTGTAGTTAAAATGTGGTTTTCACTACTCGTTAAAAGTAATTTAGTTACTTTTTGTAGCTAATATAAACAAAAATTAATCTCTCCAATGTTCTTAATTAGTTTTAAAAGGAGGGGAAAGGATTACATGATAATCCCCTTGGCCTCACACTTGAAATGTTGTGTTACTTGAGCATGCCCCCTGATACAAACGTTGTTGGCACACTAATAACAACTCAAAATCATAAAAAATGAGATAATTCACGTGGATGGTTTATAAAACATTACCCGATTGTTACGTCAAAGCAAACCACAGCAGTGTACAAGGAAGCAGTTTAGCAGTTCACCAGTAATGTGTCGGATGGTTTTCCCCGTGCGGCCAGTGATTGGCCGCATCCCACTCCTAGCTAGTCCTTTGTCTCTTGGCTGCAGACTCTCCACTGCTCGGTGACCGCTCCATGATGTACTTCATCTGAGGCATGTAACTGACCACGTCTCTACAAGGGATCAGAGGTAGAGTGTCCGACACCGAGTCACACTTGCCGTTCTCCTTTAACACCTGCATCTGCTGCCTGTAAAAAATGGTTCAAATTGTTACTTCAGGAGATTTAGAACAAAATTCCATCACAGAAATTCAAATTTTAATTCACCTGTACCATCTCCCAAAGAGATGTTTGTTGTAAATTATCTATTTATCTGCCAACAATGTAAACGGTTTTCAACATAATGCTACTTACGAGTTTCCTTTATAAAGATTGATGTTCAACACGTCCTGAAGTACTTTTCTGCATTCGTTTAAAGATACTGAAGGAAAGAAGTAGGTGACCAGATCAGGAACAGTCATGAGCAGTTCAGAGTAGATGAAAGGTTTTGAATTAATGGAAGGGACCATTTTCTCCATGAGGAAGGCTTTTTGCATCTGAAACAGACAAAGGTTTAACATTTACCTGAACTTAAAACCCCATACAAAAATATGTAAATCAGAGTAAAACTATGAATAACAAAAAATTAAAGGTAATGAGGGACATGGCAATTTAAAAAACGTGAAACAAAAAAATCTTACACTGATTAAAAAGGGGAATTTTGTAACTGAAAAAAAAAATAATAAAAAGCTAAATATTCTATAACAGTATTGATTAAATGCGCTAGAGCTACTTTGTTAACAATTAAGAAAATGTGTAAACAAAGAGTTAGCCTAGCAGGCAATAAAGTTTAACCTTTGACTATAGATAAAATTAGACATTCCATCCCCATATTAAAGTTGTCACCATTTATCAAAATGGACGAAGTTTAATTGAACTTCCATTAGATTGTGATTTAGATTTATTTTCAATACCAAATTTTTTGCCAAGGCAAACAGATAGTCATAAGCTATCAGCACCTTTTATATCACGTCAACTATCTCAGTGCAACAAATAAAGTATAAAATAGCCTTTTAGACAGTATCACAGTCTGTGAATGGTTCACTCAACAATGTTCTTTTATAGTAACAAATTGGCAACAGAAGATCCATTTAGTTGGGATGTCTTCATCAGTATCCAAAGTCAATGGTTGGACATAAACAACAAATGAATCAAACACAGGAAAAGTTAATGATCAAAATGCAAGTCTGTATGTTAATTACAGTCCAAATGCCGATGGAAACGCAAGTAACATTATTGATAACTCCTTCATTGTGTTCCTTGAGCCTTACAACACCATGTTCTCAGTTCTCACCTCGTTCCAAGCCAAAGTTTAAACAGTACGAGTCACTTGCGAAGCCGCTTATTTCCCAGGTCGTTGGTTGCAACCCAAGGTGATCGCTGCAAGAAACAAAACTGTCACTGCTCCGCCTAACCTCTAGTACTTCAACAACCAAAACGGGGGTTTTAAAGTAAAAAAAAAAAAAAATTGTTAGTGGGAGGTTAGTAGTATTTTTTTAGTCTTGTGACCACATTTAAATATATGTGTAACTAAATATCTGAATTCATGCAGTCTTGGAAACAAAGCAATGGATTAACTAGTTTCAATCACATCGGAGTCATCATCAGGCCAATACTACATGTCTTATCCCTTTGTTTGTAGGTCATTAAGATTGACGATAATTAGAAAACGCATCCAAAAACCTTGAACATTTATTGACAATAATGAGAATATGTATAATGTGTGGGTATGTATAATGAGGATGTATTTTCTTGTTATTTGTTATTGTTACCAATATGTTTGTGCTCTATGTCGGTTTGTGTGTGCGTGTGTGTCTGTATATTTATTATTAATTAAAGGTGTGCGGAAATCCAAAAAATTAAGTCGGATATCAGAATCCGACCCAAGTCCAAATTTGATATCCGATACAATCCATGAAATATTTGACTTTTTCTGATAGACTATGTATTTTGCTGTTTTGGACTTAAAACAAAATGTTCAGAGCCATACAGGCCTACTTGAACTTTGAACTATCCAAATCCCAAAATATCTGAACCTCTCAATATCACCTCTAATGTTGATGACCTTCGAAAGAAGCGACAAGAATACATAGAACTGGTCTGATGATGACTTGAATGCGAGTTGAAACTAGTTGCCCTACTGCAAAGTTCCAGAATGCATGAATGAAGGTATTTACACCAATTTAAACTAATTTAAAATTTAAACACTTTTAATTTTTCAATGATTGTAATTTATCCGCAGAAACTTAACAGGGAATGGATATAGTAATTTCACATTTAGGACTGAGGAACATAAAAGGGAAATCAATGTAATTGTTCAATGCCATTACAACGGGTTTTAAAACTTAATTTGCTGTAAACTCATTAATTGATCAGTTTTGCAGAGTATTGGTCTGGCAAAGGTGTTCACTTGTAAATGGAGTTACATAATCATCAATATTATCATTTGCTACAGAACTGCAATAATTGAACTTGTGGAAACAAAGTAAGCAAAAACTATGGTTGATATTAGGGATAGGTTGGTTGTTAAGTTGTGGTTTTTATAATTGACAAAAAACAACATTGGTGTTGTGCTATCAATTTGCCGTGATCTAGTTGGTTGTGAGGTCATAAATGGTTTATCAGATGTTTGTTTACGGCTTTCATAATTTATTTTATTTCTATGGTAATGACTAATGATGCAATAAAAAACCCATTAGCAGTCCCAAATCCATTAATATTTTATCACTAAGAGTCAAGTACTTCCAAGAACTGAGTCAATAGTTAAGCTCATAAAAGTTTTATTACTTTGATTGTTACTCAATTTCTATTCCTTTATAACTTCCATTATTTATTACTAGGGTAATTATGAAATCCAAAACTCATTTTATCATGGATTAATAGTTTTATGATGGTTATAAAATTTCCTGTTAGATGCTGAATTAGTGAAGATTTTGGTATTTTTAAATATGAATTTGTTGACAATACTGTTATTTCCAATACGTATCATATTACAGTTTTCAACAATATTACAACCTAAAACGATTAGGTTAATAAATCCTTAAATTGTAACCTTAAATTTAAAAATAAGACAATTGTGAATTGTACTTATAGATACCATAACATATTGAGGTTAGGGTATGTTGTCTAATCTAATCTTGCTTAAAAATATAATAGCCCCCACATGAAGTTACATTTTTTTTTTGTTTTAATTTTTAATATGTGCACTATCTTTGCATGAGTAGAGAGAGTATTTAAATAAGTGATTTAAGGAGAAAAACCGAAAACCTAGAACCAATAAAAAAAACCGAACCGAAACTGAACTGATAAAATCAGCAACCAACCCATCACTAGTGTAGGCCTATATGCTTTTAATTTATATCAATTTCAGATGATGTACAAAAATATACATCAGTGGCTAATTTTTATGTTGGATGTGATTGATGGGCAAAGTAAAACTTTTATTTTTTTGTTAAAACAAGTTTTTAATAAATTGTAAAGAAAAACAAATAAACTCTTAAAATAATGTTGGCCGAGTAACAATCCAAACGATGGAGTGCATGGTGCTGTAGGCTCAGGAACATTACCTTGAATTGGATACAATTTATAACTAATTGAAGATCAATGATGATGATGATGGTAAAATTTATTGATATAAATACTAAGAGCATGATAAGTTAAAAACAAATAAGGATAGCACGTAGTAAACTTGTGCACGTTACAATCAAAATCATCATCTCTCAATTAAGAGAAAATAACTTTTTAGTAATAGGCCTTAGCAAAATTTGTTTTTACAAATAAAAAAAACCTGGTAATTATTATTTTTTGACACCAATAATTGGTATTTTAAGATTTTTATAAGGGATCAGTCTTACTATAAAACGCCAACCTTTTATTAGATAATGATGATGGCATCTGGATCCAGAATCGATTATTAACTAAAGAAACAATTCAAAATAAGAAATTATAGTTTTTTTCTCCACCTTACTACAACAGATGACAATAAATTGATGAAGTAATTATTGGATTGTATTAACCGGTATATCGGTTTGCAAAAAGTGAGAAAAGAAAAACGTAAAATTGAGATAATGGTGACAATGGACACACTTCAAACTAAACATGCACTGCATTTGTTTATGTCTACCAACCTTGTATGGACAATGAGCTCCAGAAGAAGGAGGTGCCTCCATGATAGGAATGAGTTTCTTCCACAGCCCGTTGGGGTCGGGGTGACCTTGGACGCCCTTACCGTTGCCCATGAGCCTCTGGGGTGACTGTGGCGGGGACGACAAGTCTATCACTTCCTGTCCGGGAGCGTAGTGGTGAAACCTATGACAAATAGTAATGCGATTACAGCAACTTTGAGGAAATGTCATCAGTTTATCTGGCCACTTTTCAGAAGCCTATATCAAAATGTACGTCTCACAGCTTACAGACTTGAAGCCTGCACTAGTCTCTGACTCAAGCACTCCCACAGTTTTTTTGTTTATTTACTATTTACTGTGGTCACTACTCAGTTAAACTAGAATTCTTAACCTCTAAAAAGTTGGATTATAAATTTTTATTGTCCATGGTTTTAAGGGGTACAAAGTTTTTTTCCCCATCTTTGACTCTCAAAATATAAAATATAAAACACGGTTTCTCTTCCCTGTAGCAGCAAACCTAATTAATGTTATTTAAATACTGAACTAATCTAACAAGTTTGAAATGTCAAAAAACTCTTTGTCAGCAAACGATACCAGTCCCTTGAAAAGGCCTATCAATCCTTAGATGTTTCTGTTAATAAACACGGACAATGGCAAAGTTGTTGTTTCTCTCCTGTTGGAAAACAGCTAGACTTGTGCTTGTGGAGAAGGGGAAGGGAGACCCAGACCTATCCATCAATTACAGACTTCTCTGTATATGGCTGGGAAAGTCCTGGAGAAGTTCATCCGTTTCTGACAGAAGACAGCTGTTGCTTCAAGAAACCTGTTTCCTCGTCAGTACAGCAACAGGAAGGGCCGGTCAATGGTCGAACGTTATTTGCTAAACGCTGAGGATTTGGACCACCAGTCATGTGGGATAACATCTTGTTTGTAACACTAGACGATCAAAAGTAATTGATTCCGTGAGGTGGTGCAATATGTTTGACGCACTGTAGAACACCTTACACGTCCCAGCATACCTCATGCACATTATCTCCGGTTCTGCCTTCTTATTTATAACAGTTACTTTTGGTGCCAATCCATGCTAGGCTTGGTTCTCTAACATCGCATACGACAGCTGCCTGAGGAAACTGTTTTAGTCGGGTATGCAGATGATGTTTCGGCTTTTATAGCTGCTGCATTTAGCATTGAGCTGGCCCAGCTGAAACTGAACAGTCATGCATACCATACACACATGAATGGAAGTCTACGGTGTCTCGCTTGATCTGATCAAAATCAATATCGTAATTCTGATTAAAAAATCGGATGACTTTATCGTGCCATTAAGGATGGACCTTGGATGGGCTTAGATGGCAGGACCAGATCTTACATACGGTACACAAGGTCACGTAACTATTTTGGTTTCTTCCCTTATCCGGTTTATGGCCTATGTCAGATGTCCTCGGTCCCGTGGCAAAAGGCTTTTGATGTCCGTACTCCTATAAGGTGCGGATGTGTGGACAAACACGGTCAACAAGCAGGTATATAGGATGCGGTTTGCCTGTGTGCAGTGTCAGGCAGCGCTTAGGGTAGCATCTACATACTACACTTTCCTGGTGATAGCTAGTTATCCCCATCAAACTTTTGCCGTCGCAGAGGATGGTAATTTATCTGCAGCATGAGGAGTACCAGAGGAAGAAATAGGGAAGAAAAGAGGAGCGGACCCTCAACGGCTCTGGCAGGAGCTGGGAACAGGAGACCGATTCAGCAGGTCTAGCCTTGAGTATGTGTTCAAGAGAGGCAAGAAGGCCACGTCACCTGATTGCATTTAATACCTGGGCAACTCCTGACGATGTGAAACACACTTTCTTCCGCTACACGCATAGGAATAGGCCTTGCCTGGAGGCTCAAAAACATCTGGGACTGCTGTTGATGGACAATGTCATCCCGGTGATGACGGAAGGTGAGGATAATCAGACCTGTGACACAGTTGGTTTAGGGACTTCTCTGTGGCAAGATGCTTGACCTTGACCGGGATTAGGTTTATGACACATGTTGAAGTAACTTAAAAAAAATGTAGATGAACAATCCCAGGGCCAGACCCCACATTACAGGCTCGAGGGTGCTTACCTCTGGTTGGAGCCATTGACAGGTATCAGCGGAGGGGGGAACTTTGCTTGTTGTGCTGAAGTGTTGTGTGTTGTAGGATACTGCAGGTGAGGGGGTGGAGGTAGCATGGAGCCCATTTGATGCATGGAACTTCCGGTCGGCAAAACGTTCATGTTGGACGTTGAGTACGTGGGATTCCTGCAATATTGCAACAGCCATTAGACTAGAATACCTCAACCAACTACTCTATATCACATGCCTGTAATTTAGGTTATGGTTTAGGCATTCTTAAAACAAGGAAAATTTTTCATTTATGGAGAGCTTATGGAAACGAGGCTTTTTGATATAACTTTGGTTTTGGAATAAGAAACTTAATTAATAGTTGTGAACCAACATTCAAATTATGTGGCATATTTGGAAACGGGTTGCAATTCAGAACATATTTTTATTTTAACAATTCTATTATGTTGATTGTTGACACACCGGAAGACTACCAACTGAGTACCTGAACATTATCAGCAATTAAGTAGGCCCTAACTAGTAATTGTGAATAATTGCCTATTTTAGTTTTACTCATAGACACTTAATTTTTTGCACAGGCAAAGTTAACGGCATGTCATTAGCAAGTACAAAAAAGTAATAAAACAAAAAACTAGTGAATGACGAATTAACAAAAACTTATCTCTCCTCCCAATCTTCAAAGTTTTTGTTTCCTTGAGTAAACTCTACCAATCTATATTTTAACTTCATGTCTTTGAATTATAATATTAATATAGTCTAGGCTATAACAAAATGAAAATATACACATTTTCAGTTAAATGTAAGACAGAATATTGCATATTGTAAATAAAATAATAGATTTCAATATGAAAGTGATCATTTAAAAACAGGCTTGCATAAAAGTTTTTTTATTCGATCTCCTTTGATTGTACGTATCTCAAAATTTAAAGATGAACATGCAACTTTAAAAAATACATGTGTTGAATACAAATATGTCTCAATTTATTTTTGGCCAGTTTTGTCTTAATACTTTTATGATTCAACCCCAATAGAACAATATATAATGTATTATTTAGTAATAGGCCTAATAGTTTTCACAGAAGAAAAAAGAATATTTCAAATTACTATAAAGGTCAAGAGTAGAAACAAAGAAAAAATCCATATTCTGATTTCATGCTGATCCATTTGTTATCAAAAGCGAAATAATAATTGTTACAAAGATGGACAGCAAAGTCTGATTGCGAAGGCGAAGAACTGAAACAAGAAACAGATTTGGACATGCATCAGGCAGCAAAGTGAGCTGACTCACCAATCGTCCTTTCCAAACGTGTGGTAACTACAAACCAACAACTTCATCAGCCACTTTTAAACACTTAAAATCTAGCAAGATATAATTTAATCCTTTGAGCCCATTGATTAACTTATGACAGCTAGCTTTGCCAGACAGGTGAACTAACTAGCTGCTCACCAGTACGTTGCTCAGATTTTTTTGTCTAAGCTCTGACTTGGCTGGGATTTAATATTGAAAAACAATCAAACTACTTCTAGTTGTTGCTATGTAGTGTTTAGTGTCTTTGTATTGTGGCAATCCTTTGACGACATAGGGGTGGATAAATCTGAAGTTCTGAAGGATAAGATAACCAGGGTCATCCACTACAAAGGACTAGTCAGAGGTGAGACGGAAAATCTAGTATGTTTAATGTATTAAACAGCTCTGGTGGACATTGACAATAATGAATCATTCTCCAGTGAATGAGTCGTTAACTAGAGGCTTTTCAACTTAATAAATTAACTGTTCAACGTCCTCAACACGCAAACTCATATTTAAAAATGCAATTTTTTCAAACAAACTTTACACAACAATTTTTAAGAGAGCAAACACAAGTGACAGTTCCCGGGAGTAGCCGACTGAGACTGAGCAACACTAGTCGTATATGTGCGCGTCTAGATTTGTTTCAATAGACATCAAGTCTGGAGCAACAGCCCTGCGACAATGGAGTTGCGGAGCTGTCTCTGGCAAATGGGTCCAGGAACAACGGTTGCGACAGTTGCGCGACTGTCCCTCAACCTTTTTTTGTGTGCGCACTCCGATTTAAAACAATGCTGAACATTTCAGTCGGCCAACTGTTGCTAGACTCAAAGTCGCCTGGCCTAAGTTTTGTTAGTCTGAATGACCAAACTAATCAACCTGTGCTCAAAGGGTTAAACAATGAATTGATATGCTTAAATTTAGGAATGGTACTCAAAGGAAATTCAAACAAATGAGATTCCTTTCAGAGCATTTGTAGGATTTTATTAATTGCACCTTTTATAATTTTTTGTTAGATTGGGGAAAAAAGACTCATTCAATGACTCAGACATCTACTTCATTTTAAAATGTACATGTTTTAAAAATACAATTTAATAACTTTTCTAAAAAGGGGACGTGATTAAAGCATTTATTTCAATTAAAATGGATCAGCTAATGATGATGGAATGATGTACTGTATTTAACATCTGTTCTGACTGAAGCCGTATAGCAATTGGGTCAATATTAAAACAAACTATTTATTTTTATCATAGCTTTCTGATTGATTTATTGTGTGTCAGTTTTTAATTTCAAATTTAAATAGCACTTCAGCCAATCCGTATGTAACGGATGTTACATTTTCACTAATTAAATGTTAATATTGACTTTAAATATTATTAATTATCCATTTTAAGACTTTTGGTTGGTAAATAAGGTTGGTCTTAATATGGAGTGTAAGTTTGGGTATGTTTCATTGATGAATAAACGAATAAAAAATTATTTTGTCGCGTAACGGATGTTACACAATTGTGAACCTGCCTAACGCAATCATGTCATTCCATTGAAAATTCAGTTCATCTACAAATTTTAAATGAAAAATGCTATTATGTAGGCTTACTGAAGTAAGTATAGTATTTATTTGCACTTATTTGTTTTAATAAACATTATCAGGCAATTTTAAAATAATTATTTACTAGTGTAACGGATGTTACTCTTATTTTGTAACGGATGTTACACTTTATTCACATTTGGCTAGTTCTTTCAAAACTAAACTTTTTACATGAAATTCATCATTCTTTTGTCAGATATGCAAATTATTACTTATTTATTGTTAACATTTATCACATATTACAACCTTAAACCATTAATTGTTCTTATATAAATAGAATACGTTCAAATGCAGCAGCTGGTAATAATTAACACAAAGTAGGTTACTAAATTGTTTATTTAAAAATCTTGTTTTACCATTGGATTTGTTTTACATAGAACTGACACTCACAATTACTTAAAACTATTTACCAGTTATGAATATAATTATTTGAATAAATTGAACTTAACTGTTCGCAGTGGTCTAGTTTACTAGCTGTACCTATTTAATTACGACACTGGAAGAGGTCGAGTAAACTCATAGTAAAGCCTATTTCCTGCTGCTATTATTTTGGGAGTTGGCAAAATTTTTACTACTTGCTCCACACCAATGTATTTCTCTCCTTCTTCACCAACTTTAAAGACTCGTCCGTTTTTTCCATGGTTGGTCAGAAATAAAACACAAACTTCCCCATCATCGGTAACAGCTGATTGGCAAACGGCTGCATATAACAAATTGTTCCTGTGAGTGTGGTATTTTACCAGAACATATTTGTCAGGGATAATTTGACTTTCTTCTACCAACTCATCTTGGTCAATCAAAGTTTCTACAACTTCACTCTCATCTTCTTGTCGCTCTTCCAATCCCCCAATACTACTGCAATCGTCCTCTGAATCGGTTGAATATACATCACAATATCTCACACGAGTCTTCTTCTGTTTTGATTTTTCAGCCTTGATGACTTGATGTTTTTGCATGGGTGATCTGCATGTTACTGCAGCTAGTACATGATCATCATCTAGCTTCTGGAAATGATGGTATTTTCGTATTCCAATTATCTCAACAGATTGTTCCCATCTTTTTTTGAGTAACTTGTCACCGGTTGCATCAACATCTTCTTTTGAGACAAACAGGGTTGTAACCAAGTTGCAATATGTCTGACACGCATTGAAAAAGTCTTGTGGTGTATTTAAGATCACTGATTTTGACTTAACTCGTATCCAAATGTTTCGCTTCAGCTGGCCACCAATAGCATCTACTGCACCCTTGCCATGTCCAGCTGCAAACGAGCTCCACTGAACATCTGTTAAGTTCAAATCAGAAGCCAGGTAACAGACATTGGACACTGTTTGCTCTTGAATTGGGCTGAGCAATTGTCAGAGAAAATTGAGAGGGTTTTAAGTTCTTCGTACTCAAACTGCTTAAAATCATCAACAACCGCCTTTAAGAAAACCCAGCTACATTCCTTTGAATGTGACATGTCATCACTAACGACAACGTACGATTTTACTCCATGTTCATACCAAATACATGCGGTAAACAGTGTTACCTGAGCATGGCACCAGTGGGCACTTTGTATCTCATCTTGAGATGTTAGGGCAAAGTTTTCTGCGTAATCAATCTGTATTACTGCTCCTTTATCAATGTTGTTTTTCATATGATCAAAATGTTCAGATTGGACATTTTTTACAAAACAGTGAAACTTAAAAGCAGGTAATGTCTCATTTATTTTGTCGAGTACATCTTGAAGAGGCGTTGAATTTTCCACGACTTGATACTTTCCATCCTCTTTCCGCCATGATTTCCACTTTACAGTTACGGAGTAGTCAGTATTTTCATTTAGAATAGTCTTCACATCAGTCTTACAATTCTCGCAAACATTTGTCATGCAACCTTCACTGTCTGTGTTGCAGCACATTAAGTTTAATAAGATGCGGTGGTTGAAAGTAGATTCCAATCCTGCTGCTCTTAACCCTTCTACCAAGAAAGAGAAGTTTGCGTGTTTCACACAAACACAAACGTTGTGAGGTGTGTTTGCCACTGGTATTACATGTTTTGGCCTAATCTCAAAAAACTTTGACCTTGAAACTGAAATGTTAGGGTTTTTTTCTAAAAATAAAGCCCTGGCTTCGTCTATTGTCATCATTAAAAATCTCTTCTGTTTTTGGATTTTTTTCTTCAATTCATCGTCAAATACTTTTATGTAGTCCCGCTTACCAGGTGCCTGCCAACTCACTTCATCACTCTCGTACCATTGAATGACCTTATCTTTGGTTTCTTCACAGAACTTCTTCCTGATTATAGTTGTTTTAGGCCTAGATACAAACAAATCATCATGGGTACCGAAATCATCAGTCAATAGTTGACGGATGACTGCCCTTTTCTTTTTTGGGCTGAATGGCAAAGCTTTTTTTACTTTGCTTACAGCCTTTTGGAGGGTATTTTTTTTCTTGTAGGAACCTAACTTTGTAGGTGTTCCTACGGGTGCTTCTGTGGTGAGTTTGGCTAATTTTTGTTTCGCCCGCCAAGCTTTAACTCTTGAGCGAGTTTGTTCTTTCTTTTGTATCTTCTCCAACTCTGTCATAATTTCTTTCTTCTTTCGTCTATTTTCTTGGTTTCTCACTCTGTCTTTTTCGAGATGCAATTTCCACTTTTCTTCTTCTTTCTTCTTAAAGTATCGGCATTTTTCCATCCGATTTTTAAACTTCGGCAGATTTTCTGTGTCATTCTGAAACGAGCAAACATTTAAAATAGTTTCTAATAATATTTCAGTTAGGCCTAACAAAGATTTTTATTTGAAATGTTATTACCTAGGTATTCTCATATAATAAATGGCTTTGTAAAAAAAAAAAGGAATTTCAATAGTTTCACAGGTAAATCTATATTTCAAAAGTTATTAATCTGCAAACCATAAAAGGTCAGCAGTTTAATTCTAAGCACTATTTAGACTCTAGGTAGGTCTAGGTAACATTACAAAGTTTTAGGCCTAGTTACAAAACCCAGTTTTTGGCCTTTGAGGCTAATACAAGTTATTAAGTTAAGTTATTAAGTTATTAAATAGCGTTTTAAATGAGTATTTATGATTAGCATGAATAGTGTAGTAAATTACTTACTGTGAAATGTAAATTGCCTTAATAAAGTGTTTATAGGCAATTTGAGGTTATGTTAAACAATAGCCAAAGAATTTAAAACAAAATCTTTGTAAGTGCAGTCAGAAACACCTATTTAAGGCTTGTAACATCCGTTACGTAACGGATGTTACAAGATTTAAAACTCTTATAAAATTGTATTTTTACATAAATATGTAAATATTAGGGTATATACCAACATGTGCAGACCTTAACCTTACTTTTAGAAACTTTCATTGTTTTTCTTTAGACCATTCATATAAAAAAAAAACTTTTTCATGTTTTTGTGTAACGGATGTTACATGCAACCATCTATTCTAGAACTGTTTAAAAAACTCATAAAGAATCTTACCTGATCATTCATTTTGGTGTTGTCACTTGAGCATAACCTCAACACTGCAAACTGGTCACAGTCTAATGTGGAAGTGAACTATGGTGCCTCCACCAGAGAACTCAAAACTTCAGCATTTTTACAAAGAGTAATCTGGGTCTTAAGTATAGCAACTTCAAATCATCAAAAAAAGCAGTAAAAATAAAAATATTGAAATTTACTCTTTTTATTCGTAAAATTTAACTTGTACCTCATAGTAATGCATAATTAGTTTAATTCTATTATTAAAAATTAATTTTTCCTCAAATTCCTCTCTTACGCGGATTGGCTGACTTCTCTTTCCTGTTCCTTCCTAAGTAATCCTAAAACAGAGAGTGTTGTTCTAAAAGTCCACCAACACAGAAAAAGTGTTGCATAATATGCGCTATTTTTTAATTCAAACAACATAAACATGTGTGAGGGAAATCATCTGAGAATGTTTTCAATGACAATGCATTTACCTAAACTAAAATAAGCCCGATAGAGTATATTACCAGGATTTTTCGGTAGCAGGCACAATGAAAGGTTTGGAACGGGAGTAGGATGGGTGCAGGGGAAAGACTTTGCACACGTACCCCATCGTGTGTGGTGGGCCGGACACCCTGACTAGTGGAGGTGGTTGAGGAACTTGAGACTGGGCACCCATACCCATCGAGTGTGGCTGAAAAAGAATTACCTTGTGTAATGACCACTGAGCAGGATGAAATTTACACTGTCTTTACATCAGGTACATAGAATAGTGTCAAAAATTACATCTAAAAACTTCAATCAACCTAAAAATATGTCTATAAAAATTAAAATGAGACATTATTATTTTAAAGTAGTATATAAGTACAGTAGAGTCCCGCAAATTCGGCGTAATGTGGACTGGAAGGGTGCCGAGTTTGTGAAATGCCGAGTTATCGGGGAGTAGGGTTAAAAATAAGAACAAAACAATTTTTATTCCTTTTAGCTGCCTTGTTTATTTATTTTTATATTACAAGTCAGTATTAAGTCATTAGATATAGTATAACAAATCCTTGGTACGAGTTGCGAATGATTTGACTTGAGCCCATGTTTAACTCGGACTAAAAAAATCACTAATTTTCTGAGCCAGGTGATGGCCGAGTTATCCAGACTGCCGAGTTATCGAGTGCCGAGTTTGCGGGACTCTACTGTAACCACAGAAAACGTACTACTATAACCCAGAATGCCAACCGCATGGTAAAAAGCATTAAGTGTTTTGAGAGAGCTTTGACTGTCAATCCGTAGGCAGCGCCACCAGCGTTGCTATGCTATTGCATGGCAACGCTGGTGGCGCTGCCTACGGATTGACAGGCAAAGCTCTCTCAAACCGCTTAATGCTTTTTACCATGCGGTTGGCATTCTGGGTTATAGTAGTACGTTTTCTGTGCTGTAACATATAGGCCTACAGGTATAACACTTTAACTGTTTTTTATTTAAAAACTATTTTAATCCCTAAAGAACTCAGGTTGTTGATTGCAAAGTTTCACTCCCATTTTAAACCTATATAAGTCAACTTTATTTTCAATAATTCTTGTTATAGGCCTAGTAAATAGAAGTAATTCTATTACCATACATAGTGGCAGTGATGACAGTAGATACTACGATGGATTAGGTTTTGTGGTAAAAATTCAGTGATAGCTTATGAAGCAATTTGTGAGAGAATATGCTACATAAGAGAAAAGTTAAAGTGAAGATGATAAAAAAAGACTCATTCTATGCACAACTGGATAACTTAACTTTTTACTAATCACCAAACTACGATACCAGACAGGTTATTAGAGACACTAACGCACGGATAGGGAAACAAACGATATGGAAAAGTGCTGCAGGACAACACAGTTTGCACAATAGGTACTTCCATTGATAATGGGATGAGGAGGTTACTAAGCTTTGCTACAGTAATGAACCTTTATTATTAGAGGTCTGCGGTACAGAAAATTGAAGGTCGGCACGGTTCGGTATGGTACAATATTTTGTACCTCGGTTCTCGGTACAAAATCGGTACGGGGCTACCCATATTTTTGCGGTTTTCTGCGCAGAACTGTATTTAAACCATTATTTTTAACTTTAATACATTGACATTACTATGACAATGGATAGTATCCTACATTCATGGTTTTCTAATAACAGTTACTGTACCACACATTATTAAAACAAAACCTTTTACTACTACCACGAGGATTGTGTCAAGAAAAAAAATTCAAACAACTTCAAAAAATTATGCTTGTGGTTTCATCAATAGAAAGATAAAATATTTATAGCAAATATTTTAACTTATAAAATAAGATTGTAGATTAGTTACAAGTTTAGTATGTAGCCATAAACAGTTTTATGGCAGTAGGCAATGGCCAGCGGCAAATTGAATATTCACAAAATACTGACTGAGTTAGTGAACATTTAACAGTTATCATAAAACTATTATTTTTATGATAAAATAGAATTGGGGAAAGTCGTAAAGAAATAAAAGTGATAAAACTTAACAGTTCATATGGAAGTACTAGAATACAACTATTATTGTCCTGATAAAATGTTATTGTCATGATAAAATGTTAATGGATTTGGGACTGCTAATGGGTTTTTTATTGCATCATCACCCTAGTAATAAATTATGAAGATCATAAACAAATATCTGATAAGACTTTTATGTGCTCGGTTGACTGCAATAGTAAACTGAAAGGAATTTGTACCGGAACTGATGACATAATTTAGCTTGTACCTATTGCTAGAACATTAGACTCTTAGTAATCTGGCAGATATAGGGGTCCTGTGAAACTGCCTACTAGAATGCCATTAATAAAAACAATGCACCATCAAACATATCTGCGAAGATCGCTCAATCAGAAGCCGCTATTGCCGTGATTGCATAATACGACGATGCGCAGGAGACCATGATAATGCGTAAACGGCCTCAGGAGATGATCAGAATTTCGCCGCAATCGCGGCAGACCATACCCGTCAAAAGACGCAGAATTACTGGAGTGGCGCAGTACTGGATTATGGAGGGTCTACTGTACTAGTAAGATTCCCACATAAATACATTCATAAGAAAACATGGGAAGGCTGCAGGTGAAGATTGAATCGTGAAGGAACCATTTAAATATGGTGGTAGGTATGCTTAAAATGATAAAGTGTCATCATAAAATAATAGTTAAGGTCTGGAACCTAAAAATTATGCCCGAAGAATGAAAGGAAGCAGTGATAATTCCCATCAACAAAAAAGAGAATAGATAAGAGAGACTATAGACTAAAGAGGAATATATATTTTTAACTGTACCGGTATGTGTAAATTTTGTCTGGAGGTTATATTTAATAGATTGGCGGTCTATGGAGAAGAAATAATAGGAGAGCAGCAAGCAGGATTTATGAGTGCAAGTTTTGTTGATTTATGCTTTTAACTTTGTGCTGGCTTTATGCTGGTTACCCTACAGCTAAGATAGGTTCTTGCTTTTAATTACAGCACAAACGGATGGCTTAACAACACGTTGCCTACCAGTCGTCACACTCCTCCGTGTGAGGACTCATGTGTGACCTGGTAGTGAATGTGTTAAACAACTTAAGCCTATTGTTTTAAAAGCATTTCAGTTATTGCTATTTTTTTAACAACCACACTTGGATGAACACTGAAAAAAGACTAGGACTTTGAATAATTAATTACACTAAATGATTTTAACATCAACTTATTTTTTACCGCACAAAAATCACACGTACTTCTTTAAGGTCTCACCCATAGTTAATATATGAATTACTAACCGTTTCATAATTAATGTGGACGACCACATCCAGTTATTTATCGTTCGCTCTGTTAATTCAAATTTCTTAAATAATGAATTAGCCTAATTAAAGCTATTACTTACCGAGGAGTAATACTGTGGGCTGGGGGCCATTCCTCTTGGCTGGTAGGACCTGGTGGATGCAACAGCAGCTGCCGTCTGTTGGTTGATCTGAGGAAAACAAATGGCCTATTAATTTGTGTTGTGTCCAACCTCAACTTTGAATGGTAAGGAAGCTTGATGTTTTTGGACCTGATGATATACTTTTAATGAGTACGAAACAGCTGTCTCTAGTTGAACTAACTACACGGGATCGTTTGACAGTAGCAAGCGTAAACCTGTAATTTTGCATGATCAAACAATCTAGACATTATACATCATGAGCATTTTGCACATAGAAACAAACATTGCTGCCTGTGTACATTTAAAACAAACATTGCTGCCTGTGTACAACTGTGTATGGTCTCATTTCATATTAACTCTTAGCATGCAGTCATATTTATAACTTAAAAAATGTCTTAATGATATTAGCGAATTTCCCTATAGGGAAGTAGCTATTACCGTAGGTGGCACGGTAAGACTAGGGCCCGGGACCGATATGCTTTTTCATTTTCACAAGACAAACTAAAGGAGGTGAGGATAGGAAATACTCCGGGTGTAGGAAAATTCTTTGCAAGCTATAAACAGCAAAGATTATTATATGCTCATTATTTTAAGAACAATCAATGAAATAGGATAGGCCTGATCAAAATTTGTTGGATTGAATGTAAAACTATTCGTACACCTAATATTAGTTGTTGTGGAGGCACAAGGCTTTAAACCCTTTAATGCATCAAAGCCCTCTAAATTCAAATGGCCAGCCCTGATGGATACGGCTAAGTTTTTATATTATGCTTAGGCCTACTAGTATAATCCTTATAGATTGTACGACCAGTACCGCTTGCCATACTGATTTTCTCGCCTACTCATCCGGGAAGCATAGATGGTCATTCTATACACTTTTTTGTACTAAATTGCAAGCTTTGGTAAATTGCACTATTAAACAAATATAATACTCTGATTCACAATATGTTGAAATTTTAATTTGTCATGTTTCCAGCTCTGTGTAACATAATTTTTGAAGTAAAATAACGTCAGTGTGATGTTGCTGTGTGAAAAAGTGATGTGAAGTTACATTTACCAGAGTAAAAGATTTTTTTACTGGGTAAAATGAATAGGTAATAGGTAAATGAGTCAGGTTTTTTGGTCAATCAGATCCGATGGTATTAGAAAAGGACTGGTTCAATGCCCATTTTGATAGTGAAAAGACATTCCATAAGGGTCAATGTCACAGAATGGGATAAGTTATGTCTCAAATAAAAAATACCCCCACCGCAGCAAACCTGCCATCTAAGCGAATTTCCATTTGGCTGAATTGATTTTCAATTAATCTTTTTAAATAACATTAGGTTTAACAAGTACCTAGGTTTGCTGCTACAAGGAAACTAATAAAGTGTGTGTTTTAAGTAAAATAATTATTGCTTAGTATAAAATGAATATATTTGCCAAGTTTGATCAAAATATATCCATAAACAAGCAAACTACAACATTTTACAATATTCTCTATAAGAATAGCATGGGAATTTTTAATTTACCATTTTTTTAGTTTTCTCCGTAACCAATAACCGTACAAAAACACTTTGATATATTGAATTGTTTGTTTTTTTAAGTTCTTTAAGAAGGTTTAGAGAACAATTGGGAAATGTTGTGTTTTGAGGGTCAAAAGTGAGAAAAACCAATTTTTACCCCATAAAACCCTGTTCCCATGGTCCGATCATGCTGGATCGCGAACTCATTCAAGTTTATCCCGCCTTACACCTTCAAACCAAATTTCATCAAAATCGGATAAAAATTACTCAAGTTATCGTGTTCACGGACACATATATATATATATAAATCTATATATATCTATATATATATATATATATATATATACATATATATAAATTTGAACGAATGGTGTTTTTGGCCTCTGGGGACATCAAAATGAAAAAGTAAATCGGTCCCTGGCCTAAGTCTTACCATGAGACCTACGGTAATAGCTACTTCCCTATAGGGAAATTCGCTAAAATAAAACTGAATAAAAAAATAATTCAATGTGTGTACATACTTATTTACCTTATTTCCCAATAATATATTCCTTTATTTTAGCAATTACATGCATAATTTAAAAGTTTTATAGGTTACCGACGCATATTTACAGTCCGGTCACTTGTCTCCGGTCACTAACCTAAACATCAAATGAGATGTCAAATATGGAAAAACTCTAAAAAAAACGACAGAGCTTTGAATATAGGTTATACGTAATACTTATTATTCGAATGCGTCATCTGTTCAATCTTACAATTGGTCGGAATATTGATTTTTCGACCTAATACGTCAGTCTCCAAGTGCCACCGAGATATGGACTGTGAAAATGACGTAGCCCGCCAAAGCAGCAAAAAAAGTTGTAAAGCGCGGCAAATCGTCCCAGCCTTGTGAGTACCTTTGTAAAATTGCTGTGAGTTGAAGTTTTTGCCAGAAGAAGTGTTGATTTAGAAATTATAATCAAAACAACAGGCAAGAAACACATCGTACCTTAATTATGTTACAGTTCGGTCACTCACACTAATCTGATATATTCCAATAAAACTGGCAAATCAAACGTTGGACTAGCTGTAGAATTGTGCACAGAGCATAACCTGAAAATGAGGCCTAGTCTCGTCAACTAGCCTAGGAGCTATATTAAATAATATAGTAGGCCTAAGGTTACAGTCCGGTCACGAACAGTCCGGTCACGTTACTGGAGCTGTTTTTCCGTGACCGGGCTGTAATATAGTGCCAAAATGTATAATAAATGCAGGTTGCGTTTATTTTATTATGTTATTTGATATTCTAAATTTAACTTACAACACAAATATTAAACTTTAACTAAAAATAGTTTTAAAAAAAACTAAATTGTTATAAGAAATTTGTTTCCAAAATATCCAGGTATGAATGAATTTCCGTTTTAGTTCTTTGTTATATATTTAATATTTGTCGTTTACGATTCTATGGTCAGTTTTTAACCATATGTAGGCCTAAGCTCAAATATTCGCATAACAGGATGGATTATTTTTTTTTACAATAGGTAGTTTGTAAACTAATTGTATTTCAATGTTACTGAACTTTTTTCAAATACAAGTAAATATTTAATTAACTATGATGGATTTTGTTTACTTTTAAGAGGAGTTTCTATTTAATTTCACCTTTATCAATCACTTTTCATGAAAAATACAAACATTAAGTCTTATAAAATTATAAAACCTGTTGAAATAGTGTTATTTCCTAATTATCAATATGTTTGTTTTTTTATTGAACAATATTTACTGTTTTTTTTTTTAATAACAATAGGTGTGACCGGACTGTACTTGGTGACCTGAAAAATAGGAAAAAAATACTAAATAAAGATTTTAAGCTCTGCCGCTGATTGATTTGTATTTCTGAATGGTTACTTCTTATAATAACTTAATATTAACAAAATATTTTATAAAAAAAAATTAAAAAAAAGTTGGCAAATTATCACATTTAGTGACAATGACCCATAAATCGCATCTATAACAGTCCATTTTTAAATTTCAATATTTAATTACCAATAGGTTTTTTTTATTAACAGCATACTTTAATAGGCTATTGCTCCATTAGCTTTCAATAAAACATAACAATATTAGACTTTCAATTAAATAATGGCTTTTAATGTGTAAAACCTTAGTCCGTGTTATATATTATTTACGGATTGAAACAAAATCTGGTGCAACAGGGGTGGCAGAATGGTGGCCAACCTAACAGAAAAATCTGAGAGGTACGGCAGTGTGTAAACAAAAAGAGCTGACTTAGAAACAGCTGTCGTCAGCACTGCTGGTCATCCAGATGCAAAGGGTTAACATTGGTTACTCACTGAATGTTGCATGGCGGCCATCCTCTGTTGTTGTTGTTGCTGTTGTTGCTGCTGTTGCTGCTGTTGTTGTTGCTGCTGCTGCTGCTGCTGAGGCAGTGGTGTGGGCTGGTAAGTAGCTTGCCCACCAACCAGGCCAGGCCACCCGTTGTGTAGAGGAGGCTGGGCTTGGGCCGGACTGGCTGGCATGGCTGCTGTCCTAGTATTGGGAGGAGTGGGGGAGGGAATCACTTTGTTCACAGTCACCGTCGTCGGTGCAGGAGCCATAGATAACGCTGGAGGGGCTTTTATCCAACTGGCCGTGCTCATCGACGTCAACGACCCTTTTTGGAACAACAGTTGCGAGTCCACCACCTTGCTGGGCCAATAGTCCTCAAACACCGTCCCGCTCGGAAAATAGCTCTTAATATCACTCAGACTTATCACTGAACACGTTTCACTCGCGAACAATTCGTTTCTGATACCCTGTACTTTACAACAGAATTTCAAGTAGGCCAAGTCCCAATTCTCCAGTTTTTCCGCTTTCAATTTTAAATTGTCTGTTTCGCCTTCAAAGTAAAATAGTGGAACGTACTTATTATCGCCTTTGACCGTGTAAGGAACAACGGATTCGTTATTTATCCTAATGAATCCGCACTTTTCTTTTCCGTCGATGCCGTTATGTAATAACTTGCTATAACAAACGTCCAGAAAAGTGTAAAACTCAATGGCGTCTTTTAATTTCACTACTAGGTCCTTGGTGGAGAATGTTTCCTTGCCGAACTGGTTCTCGCAGTGTTTGCTGTTGATCTCGTTCAGAAGTCTCGCCTCCGCCTCGGTGATATAGAAGCTGTGGATGTTGGTGCAGGCGTAGATGTCATGGTGGAGGTAGTTGAAGTACTTCTGGAGCACTTTAGCTTCTGTAATTTTCACTGAACAATACTTTTCCTCTGGAGTTCTTATGATACAAGGAATATGTGTTGCGCCTAGGGTCACCCAGCCAAACCTACCTGTAATATGAACAAGGGGATGTGTTTTAAAAACTTAGTTGAAATTAAATTTATTTATGTTACTAGAGCATGCATTAATTCACTAAGTACTCTTCTCTGTTGGTAAGGAAAGTCAAATAAGACAGTACTCATAGTTAACAAACTGTTAAGATGTTGATATTTGTTTTTACAAATAAATGCTACGAGACAAGTATAAATAAACACAAAAAAGATGGAGATGTTTGTACTTTTTGTGCAAATTTCCTCCTGTCAGACATAGGTAACATAAAAGCAACATCCAAGGATGTAAGAGGTGAACAAGGCATAAAACATAATTATATTTATCTTCAAAAATGTGCTAGGTACTGTGATTGAACATTAACCTGGCCGGAGCTTGGAGAGGCTCAGCAACTTTATAGAAATTAAAGATGTAGAAGAAATTTGACTACATAAGACTGACTTTCTTACGAGGAAGGAGCTGAAAGTGAACAACAACCTTCTCCTATTTATGTTTTGTATGTGACTGTACAAAGGCCTGCAACTTACAGTTCATGTATTTTAGGAAAAATAGTTCCTCTGTTTTTTTTTTAGTTTTTACGGTCCTTGGTTTATGCAGCCCAATAACAAGTCAATAGCAAAACTTATTTCCCTTGGCTTACAGACAGTTGCATTCACTAGTCTCTGCTCCTCAAGCACTTTTGCAATTTTTTCATACTGTTACTGTGTTCACTACTTAATTCAGCAAGTAGGCCTAACAGGGTGTACAGCGTCCTATTAAAATAAAATTTGAGGACAATTCCAGATTTTTCATCTTTGGCAATTTCTTGATCTGTTGGACATGCTCATATCTTAAAATCACCACAAAATTGCAGAAAATCAGTGATAATACCTTGAGATTGCGGGCAACATCCGATGTTTGTACCCTGCGATCGTAAATGTCAACTAGCCTACAAATTTTCCAATTCTTAAAAAATTTTACCGTACATGTCACAGACTTTTTACCAGTCATAAAAATCCATGTACAATTTCTGGTTTTTCCAGGTCGACTAGACACCCTGCTTACCTCTTTTAAGCATTTGATTGGTTATTTTCAGTGTGGTTAGTAGGCTTAAGTATGGTAATTGGTTTGTAAAAAACAAACATTAGGTAAGAAAGTTTAGCGACTATTTAAGGGGCCAAATAATTTATTGTGGGTAATTTTTACCTCCATTCTTAGGCCTCCCTATTTTAAAACAGTTTAAGTCATCTATGTTCATAATTATTTTCATTGTAATAACCCACTCTTTTCTATGAATTAATTTTGTATTGTCTTTACAAATAAGTATTTTTGTTAATTACCTTAACATTTTTATAATAAACTGGTTTATTTGCCCATATAGTTATGGGAGGGGTTCTACTATTAACCAACTCAACAAGATATATGAACTGGAAAACAAACCTTTCTGACTGAACTCATCAATGGCAGGTTTCTCCGAGGTTTTGGCGTTCTCATCAGGACTAGCCGTGTCACCCTTGGTTTTGTTGAAGTACCCCATGATGCCAGGTTGTCCTGGCGCCACCATGGTCGCCCCGGGCCGCGTCCCAGTGGACATTGGCTGAGGCACTGCGTTGGCCATCTTGGCCTTTTGCTGCTCCAGCATCTTGGCTGCCAACTCTCGTATCTCTGCCTCATCATCTCTCTCCTGCTTCACTTTCACTACAGAACCTACAACAGTCACCATCACCTCACACTAGTAAATATGCAGAATACAGTTGGGAAATATTGCACGATATATTCAGGAAGTCAGAGGAATAAATTATTTGAAATAAAAACAAAGAAAAGTGCACCATCTGTTGTAAGCTTTTGTTACAAACAAATTAAGAAACAGTGTTCAAAATAAAATGTTCCAAACATTTTGTTCCAAACTCTGGTGTTAACGCGGCTTAAGCTGAAAGGGTTTGCCAGATGAGTGTTATTACTTAACCCTATACGCCATAACAATAGGCTTACATCACTATTTACTCATTTATCAACATCAATAGGCCTACAATAGTTTGAGATTAATTCCGTTGTTTGTTGTTAAGAATGTTTAGATTGTGCAAAAACAGGTGCGTCAAAATCAATTCTACCCATCATAATATAGGCTAATATGTGACAGAGATATGGACAGCATTGTGTTAAAGATGACATACGTGTGCGATATAGGCTCTCATATTATGTGTATTGTTAATCAATGGTACACTATGTATGATGGTAGGGCCTACAGTAAGAAGATGAGTGATGATTTATATTACTGTAACCTATATAATAAAAGACTAACTAGCTGTTCTAAACCAATGTTTTAGTTGACAAAAAACATTTCTTTGTCATAGAGCAATATAATTTGATTTACTCAACAGCTGATTTAACATTCTGCGTAAACGTAATTGAGTAAATATTGGTAACATATTGCTACTGTAATTTATTTAGCCCTAGATTGAATTATTAGTTACAAAAAAAACTAATTATTATGGGTAAACTTAATTATTAAACGTAGTTTTATAATATTGAGAAAACTAACTTGTTTTTACACTGAAATCTCTTCCTGTTGTGAACCTCAATGTACGAGCACTAGGCCTAGTTCAATATTAAGCAAATTGACAACAGAACTGCAGCTGAATCATAATCCTTTCATCAAAACAAAATAGAATACCTATATCACAATTAGTATTTTACTATGAAATAAACTGTTAAGACATGAGTTAAAAAGTGATGCAAGTTGTTGCTTTAATAAACTGGGCTGCAGGGTTGTGTTGTAATCAAATTTAATCAGTGAAACTGTAAGAGATCATGCTGAAAGAGCAGAGGACGGACGGTTGTTTACAGTTGTTGAGAGGACATGGAGGGGTAGCAAAGGACAGATCTTGGTGGGTGGGGGTTGGTTTCCCCAGCTATGGGGAAATCAATAGTCTTGCACACCACCAAACATGCCAACAAAATGTGTATCAAACAAGAGAGATTAAAATTTGACTCAAGTAAACATTAACAAACAAATCATTTGGACACGTTTCTAGAATTAAAAAATAATCCAATAAAAAAAAAATTAACAAAATTAAATTTTTAAATTCATAAAAAATATAGGCCTATCATTTTAACAATTAACTTTAGTCTCATGTCATAAAGGCAATATTGCTGAAAATGTTCAATTTTGATGAAACTATAAAATGTTAACCGTTGTAGGCCTATCAATAGAATTATGTCATGCAACTTTTTTTTTATATGTCCCACCTTCACATCCTAGGACGCTAGGTTATACTCCGGAACTGTTTCACGAACATTACTTCAGGCATCATCCAATAGAAAAAAATCCATTGGTGATTGGCGGGATTTGAACCCAGGACCTCGAGCTACAAAACCTGAGTTCTAACTTATACTCTGGTGTGGATTAACGTCCTTACGAGTGAGAAAACTACAATTATCTGCAGTACTATCCTGATAATTAGACCAATTCGTATATACCAAGGCAAAAATGTGGTTCGGATTCCACTATAATCTGTAGGTCCCTTAGTTACCATTAGCTGTATGGGCTACTAATTAACAGCTGTGTCTACGGAATAAGTCGGCCTTAGTCACTAACAAAACTAAAAGATCGCGCCACTCATCATACACTTATCTCCACTCTACATTCATACTTGGCTTAAAATACCTACTTTGTATGGTCGCCATTTCATCGAAAAGTATAAAGTAGCCTATAAAGTAAAGTAGGTACCACTAGAAACCCTTAAATAACGGGAAATTATATTTATAAAATGTTGTATTCCTTTTAATTCTAAAATAAACTATACCGCCCCCATTGCTGTGTACAAAATTATGGTTTAAAAGTTATTGTAACTTTTCCTAAATGTAATTTTCCCATAAACCCCATTAAATAACAGAAAAGTCTGAATTGAAAATAAACAGCTGGACCAATTTTCATTAAAGTTTAACATTTTATTATGGTACTTATAGGCCTAATTCCAAACAAAATGGTACAACCGCAATTGTTGTAAAAAGTTACATTTTCAAAGTTATATTGCAACCTCAGGGAATTTCCACAAAAAATATAATTACTCCCACTGCTTACCCATGATAAAGTTTGTTGACAAGCTAATGTGAGAAAGTAGTATTTGTCACATTGCTGACCATTTATTGATTGAACAGATGTCTATAAAAATGCATAAAAGTTAATTGTCCGATTTTTGCTATGTTCGAAATCTGTCATTTATCAGACAAGGGATGGAAAAAACATATTCCCTTCATAAACACTTATAGTTACTAAAGTACTAGCAGTGCCCGTTCTACAGAGAGGGATCTTGTAGTCAGTCGAAACCCAACAGTACAATTTTGAAAAATGCAGAATGTCGGGTTCTTGTAGGGCCTATTAGTCAGTCGAAGCCCAACGGTACAATTTTGAAAAATGCAGAATGTCTGATTTTTCAACATGGATGGTACCTATTAATTTTACTTTATTTACAACTACCTACAACTATTGTACTAGTGATCAATTAAATATGATATTTAGTCACAAGGTTATTTTAACCACTTTTATGGGGGTTTTATGGGCACTTGGTTCTGGATTTACTAACTAAATGAGATTGGAATTAATTGCACTAACTTACTATTTGTAAACATATAGCCTAGGTGACAGTTTTTAAGTTAGTAGGCCTATTCGCTGAAATTTTACAGATGATTGATACCGGTAGGCCTATTTGATAAAATGGCGTACCGGTATGTTGTGGTAAACATTAGGAAATATGTGTCCAATATCAAACAAAACTAGGTTTTTGAACGATATTTATTTGATTTTATTTTGCAAATGGTTAGGTCATGGTTTAAGAGACATTCTAAACCAATTCAGTAAATACAGGAAAAACCATTTGAATTTTGATCAGTACTCTGGTTTTTTCTAAATACACGGCATAAATTGGCATTTTGGCATCACAAACACTCGAATAGAGAGAGACAGGTAGGCAGACTGGGAGAAGTTGAGATTAGACTTGTTTTGGCTTTCTAAAGTTATGAAACACAAAAACAACCGAACACTTCGAAGTTTTTTTTTTCACATGAACCTCCAACAGGATGAAGCGCCACTACACTGCGGTTTGCGTGCGCAAGAAGCGCTTGACACTAGTTTCAACGATCGGTGGATTGATAGGGAAGGACTCATCGAATGGCCTCCTAGGAGTCCAGATATGATTCCTCTGGACTTTTTCTGTTGGCAGGCAGTAAAGAATGATGTCTACTCATGCTATGGGAAGGAAGGGAAACAGAAAAAGGTCCTCGACGTAGGAAGTGGTGAAGGCAGTAGTAAAGGCTAGCAGTGCAGAGTGTGGGAACGCTTTGGGGCAGTTAGATTAACGTATCAAAAATACTAAAATGCTATGGGAAGGAAGGGAAACAGGTCCACGACATAGGAAGTGGTGAAGGAAGTAGTAAAGGCTGGCAGTGCGGAGTGTGGGAACCGTTTGTGGCAGTTACAATAATGTATCGGCAATACTATAATGCTATGGGAAGGAAGGGAAACAGGTCCATGACGTAGGAAGTGGTGAAGGAATTAGTAGGCTTAAAGGCTAGTGTGGGAACGCTTTGGGGCAGTTAGATAAACATATCTAAAATACTCAAATGCTATGGGAAGGAAGGGAAACAGGTCCACGACGTAGGAAGCGATGAAGGAAGTAGTAAAGGCTTTTTAAAGGTGCTGAGTGTGGGAACCCTTTGTGGTGGTTAGATGAATGTATCGGCATTCCTAAAATGCTATGGGAAGGGAGGGAAACAGGTCCACGACGTAGAAAGTTGTGAAGGAAGTAGTAAAGGCTAGCAGTACAGTGTGTGGGAAAATTTGTATTTTGTTTAATAATTGTACTATCTATAAACAATTATATATGGGAACTATATATGGGCCAGTATGTGAAGATGGAGTATGGAGAATCCGCCACAACCGGGAGCTAAGAGAACTATTTCAAGACCCTGATATCATTGGAGAAGTTAAGAGTAGAAGATTAAGGTGGGTTGGCCATATCCTAAGGAGAAAGGAGGAGAGTCTACTGAAGATAGCACTCAGAGGAAATCCGAGGGGAAGAAGACCAATAGGTAGACCGAAAGCCAGGTGGTGGGGTCAAGTACGAAAAGATTTGGAAAGGATGAGGCTTGTAGAGGAAGATGCATGGGACCGAGACTATTGGCGACAGCGTGTTGGCGAGGCCAAGTACCGGCTAGGGTACAAGTGGCCATGGCAGTAAGCAGTAAGTAATTGTATCTATAAATATTTTCTTATTTATTACTTTTATTAAAAACCATGAGACATGATTGCTCGGCTCAACGGGCTTTCACTGCAATGAAAGCAATCCTAGTACGGTATATCAGCTGTTTCAAATTTTAGTGTAAATTTCAAAGTATTCAAGAGTTCAAATGTAAACATTTATTTTCTCCATAAGAATAACGTTGGAACTTTGAAGGCCACTAGGGCAGACAGAGCCTTGATGGAATTTCAATAATGTTTTGTTTGATGGCAAATCTACGTGCCATGAGCTATCCAACGATAAGTTACCTTAAACTTGGTGATCGGATGCGTAACTTAGCAGCTTCAAAACAATTAGGTATCATAGAATTAGTGTTGGCCTATTAAATTGTAATACGATTGACTCCCAGTTTGTTAAATTGATTGATGGACCCAGCTGTTCCTGATCATTGGGCTTTAAATAAATGATCCTGACTAATGAAACCGCTGATCTTAGTCAGTAACAAAGCTACACAGGTCATCACACACCATTAAACACTCACCCTTCACTCATAATTGGGTTAAAATACGCACCTTGGTGGCGTCCCCATCTCAATGATAGATAATTGATGATAATTGTTTTAAGAAGTGTAGGCCACAGTAATCAGGTAATTTTTAAATTGCCAAATCGGAGTTACAGTAACTTAGCTGATAAGTTTAGGCCTAAGTTAAAGTCGTCACTTCTAGTTGCTTGACTATGATTGAAAACAATCAGCTGTATAGGCTTACGTCACCCACAGCTCATCCAAATTGTAACCTAAATGTCATCCATCCTACATTCTGGGAAGATCGAAGAATTTTAGTCTAAGTAAAGTAAGTTTAGCCTAAAACTGACTAAACTTAAGTTAATTTAATGGTGGGCAAGTTAATAAAATTTTTGTTAGAAACACGGGATTTGTGTTGGGCCTAATAACAATGAATGTTACTGACACATTAAAGACGCGTTTTCTTAAAGTTTTCAACAAATGATTTTAGCTGGCGGCCCCCACTATAATAGTGGATACCTATAAATTAACAGGCTAGCAAAATTGTATACCTAGGAGTAGGCTATGTTTTATAGTAGGTAGTTTACTACCTACTATGTTTATGTTTGTACATAGCAAAAATAGATAGGGTAACAGAAACTGTATGGGTCATAAACTCAAACATTAACAAAATTATTTCACTGGCCTGAAAGTAAACGTGTTTTTATTAGTGACCTTAATTAAATGGAACTGTAAAAAAAATCCATACCAGTAGTTACCGCTATTCGCCTATAGACAATAGGGCCAGTGACTTAATAGGTTTATATTTATTAGTCCATACCATTCCTGTTCAATAAGTTAGTCGTGCTAAGTTACATTGTCAATATTCAAATGGTACGCGAAAACATAAAATATTGCATCGCTTGTCACATCTCATAAAAATAAGCCTACCGGTAGCCAAATAAAATAAAACAAAACGCTCTTTGTCTGCTAGTGAACACGGATAAGTCACCTTCGGACTGGCCGGTAGAGGGTCGACACGAATTTAAGGACTGGGAGCAATGAAACAGACGATAAAGATGATGTTGCTGGCCAAAGTGAAACCAAGGAATAAATAAACGTTAGTATAGAGTTCGAGAGTTGCATTTTTCAGTTATTGCATGACGATATTTGCGAACGCAAACATTTATTTTGTTCCAAAAGTGCCATTATATAATGTAGGCCTACTAGCAGTTACCCGGCGCGCGTTGCTGCGCTTAAGGAACAACTACTATTTTAAATGGTAGGTAATTTGTTCTTTACGATAAATATGGTAGGGTATTGAAAATTTACCAAAAACAAAAATGGAGTACCAAGGCCTATTTATTTTACTTGATAGTCAGTGGATAGGCCTAAACAATGTTTTTTTTTTTACTGAATTAGGTTTATAAATAGGTATAGGCCTTATATAAGTTTGTTGGCGTAACGACCACAAGTATGAGCACGTAACATGCAGCTGTCCATGTGAAAATCATACATTTTCTAAATTTAAACTGGCGATAGTCAGGGATTGCCCTTGTGTCTTATAATGGTGTTTGCGAAAACAAACACACAAAGGAAATTGTAGTCGTCGCTTGAATTCAAAGGGTAATTTGGATGAAATCATCGGTATTCTTGGGATTAAGACTTAGGCCTATTCCTCCTTTAACTTAAACTTTCCACTGATCGATTGTTGCTTCGATCAAGTTTGGTGTAATTTTTTAAAATCGTCAGTCTGGTCCCGTTGCACAGCTTAAAGGGTTGATTTAGGTGTTGCATTATTATTGGAGTTCCTTAAACTTTTAATGGCAGTAATGTGGTGGGTTAGTGACAAATTGGGTTGCGGGGCATTTGAATATCCTTACCTGGGATAAGTTAGCACACACGATTATTTTAAGCACTTAATAATTTATGTTAGATTGTGTGGGTATAGAACAAAAGATAAAAATATTAAGGCATTGCCATCCCTTTTATTGTTTATAATCGGCCTACTTTGATTAAGGTTTTTATGTTTACATTTTTAATGGTGGATAATTTAAGTTAAACTTTGTTGAGTGCTCAGGTGTGCTGCGATTGAGGTTTAATATTTGGACTTAACCAAAAGTAAAATAGTTTTCTGTGCTGCATTCTGTGGAAACAGTGTGGCACTACCTAGGAGAATTAAACATTAAGGCCTATTTTATGCACTACGTTTTCAGTCGGACGGAATTGTTGTCCCTTTTAAGTTATGCAGTTTTTCCGCCGAGCGGAATCTGCTAGTTTTTTATGATGCCCGCAGTGGGGGTGGTTATTGCTGCCAACTTTGTTCATTTTTCAATCGTCAGTGACCCAAGATGGATCCTTGTTTATTGGTTTATACCTAGGCTATTTGCGCGTAAAGAAAGATAGACGACTGCGATGGAGGTGGGCTGTACAGTGTACACCCGGTAAATATGAAAGTCTTAGGGTTGGCAGCAATGGCAGTACTGCAGGGTTGCCAATGAGAGGGTGTGACTTGCCTTTTGTAACAACAATTCCCATATCAATCCCGGGTAGCCTATACCTTTGATACTTAGGCTAAGACGTTTTTAAACTGATCCTAGACACCAATACTTACTACAACTTTCACAAATGACTTTTTGGTCGCCGACACTTCCTGTAGACACCATGCCTAAGTAGATTACTAGATACCACCCCTGAAAAACTGGCTTAAACATCATGACAGGGCAGTTTACTATACTAGACACCCCATCAAGATTACTAGACACCATTACGAAGATTGCGGGTACACTTCCATATCTGTTGGCACAAACAACCGAATGAGTAATATCGATCAATATATCGATTATTCGATATATCGTTTGGTTAGTTAGGTAAGGTTAACCTAACCTAAGCAACCAAACGATATATTAAATTAAACAGTCGAATAATCAATATTACTCATTCGGTTGTTTGTGCCAACATATATGGAAGTGTACCCAAGATTGCTAGACACTTTACCTAGATTACTAGACACCAAGCAAAACTACTACTGTAGACACCATTACCTAGATTACTAGACACCATGCCAAGATTATGGTTAGGTTAGGTTTAATCTAGGTAATGGTGTCTAGCCCTCCGAGTGTCACGCGTCATAAAAACGACGCACAACACACTTTGTGTAGGGTCACGCGTCGCTTTTAAGACGCACAAACATCGTTTACGGCGAAGGCTCTATGACTGACTGAATCGGATTGAACTGGATCGAGTTAGGTATCGTTCTTTCCGTAATATTCTAAGCTTTCTAAAGAGGTCTGTCTCTAAGCGCTATTCATTTTAGTTCCGAAAATATTGTAGCAGACAGCTGACGTGCGTGTATTTGTAAACAGCTAGGTTCCCCCGGACCGATGACTGATGTGTTTTATTACGTTTATCATTGTTTTAGTGTTAAAAATCAAAAGTAGTGATATACGTGGTGCATTATAAGAAGATTTAAGTGGTTTTGAAGTGCTGGTTGATGATCCTGAAGAAGTAGGTAGTGATATTGATGTAAATTATCAGCCAGATTCCTAGCTATGGTTAGGCTATGCATTCTTAGCTAAACGCTATGTACTGAAATCCGTTTTTCGCTCATAACTTATTTATTTGATAACTTACCTCGCTATAAGATTATATATTTGTAATCCTCATTAAATTTAGAACAAAGTGGCTATTTTCAAATATTTATAGGCCTATAATTTATACAATTTCATTGAGCGCGAACTTATTTTTTTTTTGAAAATTTTCGAAATTATATTTTTTTTTACCTAAAAATTTTTTTTTTGAAAAAATGTTCCTTATGTTTTATATATAATATTGAAGCCCATGATTTTCCAAACAAAATGGTATATAGAACATTAGAATTAACATTGTTTTAAGCTTCTCAGATCCGTTTTAATAAAACCTTGCAAAGGGGCCAAAAATAGGTGGACATTAAGGCCTAAACTATGGACACTCGGAGGGCTAGTAATCTGGGCGTGGTGTCTAGCAATCTTGGAAAGGTGTCTAGTATAGGAAACCACCCTGTCACGATGTTTTAAAGCAAGTTTTTCAGGCATGGTGTCTAGTAATCTAGGGGGCGTGGTGTCTACAGGAAGCCCCGGCGACAAAAAGTCATTTCAGTAAGTTGTTGTAATGGTGTCTATAGGAACAGTTTAAACACGACCAATGTACTGTTCAATGAGGTAGACCTAGGCCTACCCTATCCAGATTTGTCACTTGACAAAAATTAGACAGAGACCTAAACTTAAGTTAACTTAATGAATTTGTTAATGACTTTTCCTAACTAATAAAATAATTTAAATTAATATTTACCAGCAACATAACTATAGCTTACTAAAGGGAATGTTTACTAAAATATAGTCCTAGGTCTGTCTCTGGACAAAATAAGAGGTCTGGGCTAGAGGCTATCGTCCCCATGTACAGTCCCCAGACCAAACACACGGTACGGTAAAATATTACACCTGCGACAATAAGTAAATACGGCAGGCCTATGTTTGTAAAACCAGCCGCATTGAATCCTTTATATTAGAAAACTAGCTTAGCTTAAATTATTTTTAAAGAATACCTCCTTCTTTAGATGTTGCAGCTTTTGCGCTGCTCGACAAGGCGGCAACAGAAGGCAACGCCATTTTTTACGTCGCCATGAGAGTTGAAGAGTAAACTAAACCTCACTTATTATAAACTAAGAACACTCATAGTTTTCAAACTGAATCAGAAACAATATTCACTTTACACCAACTACACACAGCGCACACTTTTCCCACTAACTACATTATTACAGGCGAGAAATATGAAAAATATCCGGCACAAACATAAATTTCTCCCATCGTCGGTTTGAAAGCGGGGTAATGGTTGTGTCTAGCCTCGAATACAGGTCCCGATTTTCACATCCCCCCTCCACAACAATGAGTCATTTCTCACAAATGGCGGTCAAAATCCTTCATTCGACCAATCACAGAGTACCATATGGCGTCAACAAAAAAGGATGATATAGTTATTTGTGACGTCAAGGTGATGTTTCTACCCTTGGTTGAGGCTAGTCTCGGATTTCCAAGGTCTTTTGGTACAGTCTAAACAAAAGTTTAACCTAAAAGATGCGTGCGCATGTGGCCGTTATCTAGGCTCCCCTAATAAAAGTAGGGGGGATAGTTTTTATTTTAACCAATTATTAATTTGAAATATCATTGTTCTGTGCAAATAAATACATAACTTCTCATTTGATTTTTTTTAATTAATCTTGTAGTTTGCTGTTGTTAGCAAACAAAGAAATTTTAGTAGACAATAAGTTGTTTTGGAGGGACTGTACCTGTTCTTGTTTTCCCCCACTACTGTTCTAATGGAAAAAAACCTAACGACCTGCGAGTTATTTATGGAACAGATAATAATTTCAAGGTCTGAATAATTTATGAGGATGTTCCCTCTCCATCCTCCGTTGTTGTTCCTTTTCTTGTTATTGTTGTTGTTGTTGTTAAAATTTTGTTGCTGATCATTATGAAGAAAACGAAAGGTTCTGTAATAATTACAGACTTGCTAGCTACTTGAAACATGTTAAGTTTTTTCCTATTATTTTATTGCTTTGTAAAACAATAATAAATATTACCGTACCAAACAATAAAACTCATTCAGTTGACAGTCTAAAATTTAGGCTAATATATTTTGAGTTTCGCTATCTAAATTCCAAACCACAGCTATTATGATCTTATGTTGTTATATTGACCTATAAGTTATTTTTGGACTGCAACATTAGTTAAATTTCTTTCAAAATTAAAAAGGCTATTTTATTTTTTGTATAAAATAACATGAAATTATAATCAAAATTTTTAGTATAGGCTTTATGGAGTGAACTACTTGGAACTTATCAACTGGATTTGGCACGCATTAAATAAATGTAGTTTGTAAGCCTAGTACCTATAGGTAGATATTATTTTATTAAAATATATATTATTTTATTTTCAACTATATCGAATACATTATAATAAAAATATATAACAGTTGTAGGGGCCTAATATCGGTTAGTTAAAATAGGGAGGGAAGGGAAGTATGTAGGTATTAAAATAATATTGGACCATTGGACGGGAGTAATGAGAAATGACAGGCACTGTATCATCTCTATTTGTTTTTATTATGCAGGAGGCAGTGGCGTATCGGCTGTCCTCTCTCCTCCCGTCCCCGTCCTCTCAGCTGTCTCATGTCTAGTCTAGATGGCAGTGGCACTGGCAGTGGCTGCCTTGGAGAACAGCAGTATAGCCATGGCGTGGGAATTTCCGTTTTCTCTACCCACGCACTATTATGATTATTATTTAAAGATTAATATTTAAGGATTATTATTTAACCGGGATTTATTTGTTAAAAGTCAACTTTTACATACATTGTTATTTGATAAACATACAGTATGTAACATACTATATTGTTAACATTAGAATAACTATGCTACACAATGTGTAATACTGTAATTGTAAACGCAATGAAAAAAAAATAAAAATTAAATTATTATTATCGTTGCTTTAAGCGATTTAAGTGGTTGGATAAATGCACCATAGTTAACAATTAATTGTGTTAAAGGGACCTGAAGATTTAAAAACAATACATGGATAATCAACTGCCATTTTAAAAAGGGTTTGTAAACTAAATCACTGTTAAGCTATTGCTACAAAACTCACAAATTAAATATGCTAACTGTGTCAGTGTGACTATAACAAAATAATATTTTATGTCCAAGCCTATTTACAGTCTAACCTTGATATAACGAACCTCAATATAACGAATTCCTTGATATAACGAATTTTTTTTAATCCCCTAGAACTCTCCATAAGACACAATGTATATTTTACCTCTACATAACGAACAAACCATAACAACGACCTTGATTTAACGAATTTTTCGTGATTTCGGCTAAAATAAGACACCTCAATATAACGAATTTGTCATTGTCAGAACCTCTACATAGCGAATTTAACCTCTGCATAACGAATTGTCTACGTCTTTCCCTCGATATAACAAATCCCTCACCCAATTATTGTTTTGGGAAAATCTGTTTCTTTATCAAATTAAATGGAAAGGTCACGTCATCACTTGCGCTAACATTCGTCTGCTCCGTTTTACATCTTTGTCTGCTGTCGCTGCGCGCGCTATGTTGCAACTGAGGACTGATGACGACGTAATGTTTAGTAAGCTGTGATTGGGCGATATGGGATAACTATGGTGAATTGTACAAAGAGAAACCTAAGAAAGAATATAAAAACAAAACCAAAGAGAAAGAATAGCAACATCGTTATTTTAACATTCCTTTTACGAATGTTTTTATTATCCTTAAGTTGGCTATGATTATACACTTTTATAATAACTTATCTAATAATTTATTGTTTTAAATACGATTTGTTTCAACTAGCAACACCAATGCTATAGTTAATGATTATTATTAACATTCCTCTGTTGTGACAAATCAGTATACCGTACTGTACTGTAAGTAGCCTACCTAAGTACCTGTATCGCGAGCAGTAGCTTACAAAACTTTCTACTGTTTTGTTCATATAATTATGTATTAGATTGAATGTATGGCCTACCTACTAACTATAAATATATCAATGTATTTCATTTATTGTTTACTTTATAGAATACTAAATAAACAACAAATGACATTATTAACAAACACCTTTACATCTGCAATCAGATTGTTTATCTTTATTTTGAATTGTTTGTTTGTATAAAGAATCTCTTGGGAGCATAACCTGTACCTCTTAAGCTCTGCTCTTCGAACCGTCAAATTGAAGTATTTACAGCTTACTTAAATTAATTGATATATTTACATTCTTTCAAAATGTAAACATGGACAATTTGGAAGCCCATGGGGCGTAGCTCAAGGGAAATATGAAAATGAAATTATATAATATTGCATTGTCATCCATTTGTGAGCTATGTTTCAAGTTTCAAGTCTCTAGCTCATCGGGAACTTAGTATAAAATTGATTGCAAAATCTTTACCGGACAAGAAAGCGAGCTAATGAAAACGTTTGAATAAAAAGTGGCCCTAGTCTTATGTCTTATACCATGGTAATAACTTCTTCCCATGTGTTCATTTTAAATCAACACACATAAAAGGAGAAATAAATTTGTAAAAATATGATGTACAGTATTTTCACTTGAATTTTCTAAGTCTACTGTTGAATTTGCAATAAAATTTCAAACTCGAGTATCTATACTTTTTGACTCGACAGTAGGTCTCTCTCCTTAGTGATGTATGAAGGGTTTTAGGAGAATCTCCGCGTTCTACAATGACAACGAAAACTCTCTCCCCGTCATTGCCTCCCCTTGGATTCCAGGAAGGACAGCGGGGGAATATCGGTGCGCCGCTGGGGCGGGATTATGGGTCGCGGGGGAGTTGCCTAAGACAGACCGATGGAAAGAAAGTACCGTTACGTTTAATTTTCAAGATGATCTCGTTCGCATCGCTCAATCACGTCCTGGTTGAAGTTCGTTCGCTACGCTCACTCACCTTTGGGTTGGAGCTCGTTCGCTACGCTCACTCACCTTTAGGTTGGAGCTCGTTCGCTGCGCTCACATGCCTTCAGGTTAGCTCGTTCGCTACGCTCACTCGCCTCCAGGTTGAAGTTCGTTCGCTACGCTCACTCACCTTTTGGTTGCAAATTAGCTGTTGTCATAAATGTAAAAGAAATAATAGTGCTGCACCCTGTTGGTAATCCTTGTAACTTTAATGCTATTGAACATCATAGAACAGAACCAACTTGTTTAATTGAAACAGCTGTTAAGATTCATTAATTCCATTTCTCATAAGGTTAACATGGGAAACTCCAGAGCCACTGGGGCGGAGCCCTTTTAAGAATTTCGAAACGGGAAATAGTTTACGTCCGATTCGCATACCTACAGAATTTACACACCAAATTTCATAACGATCGGTGAAGTCGTTCCGGAGGAGTTTGCAGACAAACACTGTGACACGAGAATTTTATATATTAGATTATTTCTAGTTTGGATTCGAAATGTACCACAAGGCCGAAACATCTTCATCTGGTAAAAAGTCCGTTGATCATTTTTATACTTTTATCATAAAAAGGTAAACAATTGAGGAATTTGCATTAAATCCTAGACATTATTTAATTTGAACTTGGAAACAAAACAGAGCATGTATAATTTTTTACAATTACCTACTGTTATTTTTCCTTATGATTTTTATACGACATGTGTGTGTGGACAATAATTAATCTATTCTGGTTTGAGGCTGCAGGATTGCTGAGACTTTGTTCTTTAATGTCATAATTCTTAATTTCAAGTAGGGCAAGTAGGCCTAAATTGTTTACATTTTAGGTAAAATGGACTTTTCCTCCGGTTGCGAAAAAGAAAAAAGAATAACCTACTGACCGTATCCGTTAAAACTACCGCATTGTTTCTTAGTTTTTGTTGATTATGTAACAATATAATTAGCGTGAACCATCAATTTTCCAGTTTTGTCTGAATTTTAAAATTCGCTACTCTCTTTTTGTACTGTTAAATTCGCGTAACGTGACCGGAACTTAAGGTTTCCTGAATGATCTTTTTCGAAGATATTGCAGGAAATTGGGAAATCCAATAATATTTAATAGGCCTACTAATTATAGCAATGCAGATTGATTTTTGTAAAACTAGGTCACGATTTTGTTTTGGAATTGGAGAAACTCCCCGTCGTTACACCTATCCTAAAAGTAATAAAAGTATACATACAAGTAAACTATTAATGGCACTAATTTTCGATTGTATTTAACTTTATCAGGAGAATGTCCAGCACCAGCATCGCCCTCGTGCTACGATTACCTAAATTCTTTCCCGCCTTTTACTAGCACCTGCACGATGAGACAAAGGGCCCGGTTTCTGATGTATCCGTTTTTCTCAGTAAAATGTTTTTGACTCGAGGCACCTTTGT